GGTTAAGGATGTCAGCAGAGCAGAAAGGCAGAGAACTCCAGAGGAAGAGTGCGGGCAGAGCCACCAGCTTCAGGAAAGAATCATTCTGTTGCATGAAAACGTGTTACAGCTCAGTGTTACAGCTGACTTGTGACAGCAACCTGGATCCCAGCGAGAGACCAGACAACACTTGGAGAACTCAGGTTTATTACGCCAACGGGCCCAGAGGAGCTAAGCGCTCTGGACCCCTGTCTGTAGGTCTACACAGGCTTTTATAAGCTGCCAGTTTACACTTTGCAACATCATATGCAAATAAGGTATAACAAAAGTTCACTAATTAGGAGCAAGCTTTGTACAAATGGACAAATCTGGAGTGAGGGAAATGGACCAATCAGGAGTGAGCTCCACTTTCCTAGAAGTAAGCCGTTTCAGAGGCAACAGGTGAGCTAGAGCCTCTGGGCCAGGGAACCGGGTGGTGCTGGCAGGAGAGCAGTGGCCTTGCCTGGGGGCCCTGCCGGTCTTTTTACGGGGCTTCCCACCTCAGTTCTAATTCTGTTTCTTCATGAAATGTCGCCCGGCCTCCGTTTGGTAGATACACTACAAGCGTCGTGAGATGGGAGTGCTGTGTCCTGAGGGGAGAGGTTAGTCTGTGCTGTGGAGGGGTCCAAAGTGCAGAAGCGTAATGCAGTCGGGGCTGATCCCTCACCCTCCTCACCCGGACAGCACCTCTCAGAGGAGGGCTCTGGGCCTCACAGTGCCTGAGAGCCAGGTCTGACAGAAGCTCTCACGTCCCAGGGCTTCACCTCCTGGAGCGCGAGCCCTCCGCCCTCTGGCAGAGAAAGGGCACAAACCCAGCCCTCTGGGCTGCAGGCTGCAGGTGACTCACGCCACTCCATTCCCAGACATTGGCCAGAAATAGCCACCTGTCCCCACCAGAGACGAGGGGCCTGGGGAGTGGCGGGGAGCACGTGGGTGCTCAGAGGCAGTGAACTGACCTTTACTAGGCCACTCGCTGTGGCCAGGATCCCGAGGGCTTTCAAATATTAGCGCGTTCAATTCTCATTTCAACCTCCAGTGGTTCTTCAAGATACTTTATGTGCAGGCGTGACAAATGGATGAAACTGCTTTCACATGACCGGACAGAGAAGGAACACGAAAGGCAGGGTCAGTCTGAGTTAATTCTAAGCCTCAGTCCTGCAACACTGTCAGTCTGCAGAAGTAACACCCGAGGGCCGCCTGCCAGCAGCGGCCCCTGCGGAGAACGTCCCTGCTGCCCGGCCGCTGCAGGGCTCAGCCACCTTGCTGCACTGCGGTGTTGGTCGCAGCCTCTGACTGCAGAAACAAACCTTTAGCTCCAAGGGAGTTTGCTCTAAGGACGTGGGACATCTCGTGCAGCCAGGGACTGGACGCAGACAAGCCTGAGGAAGAGACGGGAGCAGGGCCTCTGACTTTCTCCTTCTCTCTGCACGGCTGGGTCTCTCCCCCTGCCTCGGCTCTGCCTCTCTCCTGTCCCATCTGACTGCTCTGCAGAACGGGCCCGGGCTGCCTCCAGGCTCCCAGCTTGCTCACCTGTTCAGTTCTAACCCCTCAATGAGACTCAATTCTCTTGGCTCGTTCCAAACCCCAGGGAGTGGGGAGCGGGAGTTCCGTCCTAGTATGTGATATGCAGGCTCCGCTGTTCCCCAGCAGCCCTCCCCTCCCTCCTGCTTTGAGGACAGAACAACATTCTTTGTAAGGTGCCGCGTCAGCCTGGGTCTCCTCAACCATCAAAGCTGCTGCATTTTCTTGTTAAGTAGTGACCCTTCTTTTAAACACCTGAAAGTTCTAACATGGGCACAGCCTCCACGTGGAATCTGAGGACAAGTGGAGAAGGATATTCAACCAGAGCTTGCATCCAGGGCCTCACAGCTCAGCAGAGGAGAAGCAAGACCTCAAGGGCTGAGGCAGCCAGGGAGGCGCGCTTCCGGAGGGCTCAGGCGGACAGGTTTACCTTCCCGGGAGCCAGAGGAGGGATGTGTCACGGAGCTGCGTATCACCGCATCACCAGGGCTCCTAAGTCAAAGGAAACCCACTGAGAAAAGTCTCCCGATGTCCTTGCTGTTAGCTGAGCAGGGGTGGGGACGAGAGGCAGGGCGAGAAGCACGGGGGCGTGAGAGAGTCCTTGGGTCTGGCTTTCCGGGAGGCTCCGGAGTAGACTGGGGGACAGGAGGATGAGTGAGGCTCCGGGCGGTGCCTCCGGCACCAGCTGGGCTGATGGGATTCCAGAGTCTCAGTTCAGGCTCCCGGATGAGACTCTGCTTTCTCGGACAAGTGGAACACGTCTCCACATGCACCCTCTTTCCTTTGCACATTCGTTTGCGTTCCTTCTGCCTTGCTCCACATGCCTTTCCTGATGCAGATTAGCAAGTTCATAAAAATGCATCATGGACCCACTTAAACTATATGATTAACTGGTAATATGTGATATTAACGTGTAGGGTTTTATGGAGATTAGCACGTATAATTATATTTGATGGTATATGATAATTACCTGTTTGGTTGCATTTTAAAGTGTGATGACTTCAGAACATTCATCAATCCACATATGGCTCAGAGACTGATAAAAATTGCAGCTCATTTTAATTGTTTTTAAAGTAATCAAACTGACATCTTTGAAGCCTAAAGGAGGCATTGATTTTACTGAGACCGTGTTAATGGTACAGTGATTGGAACACTAACTGAAAATTCTTTTTTTTATTAAATAGGACATTCTGATCAATATTTTCCAAATGGCTAATGTGTGAGTGGAATTTTCTACATTTCAGATGAAATGTACAAAACTTCAACAGAGGTTCTGAACCGTCTAGGAGGCAGGGCACAGACAGCTGCGTGGAGGAGGTTTGGGAGTGCGGCAGGGACGTGGGATGCTTAAGTTCAGTAGGGAACCCGTGACAGCCTTCCTGGTGCCCTCATCTCCCTCTGCTTTTCCTTGGAGTCTTTCTGGTCTTCCAGAAGCTGTTCTGATTCAGTTACAGATACGTGGTGCCTGCCTGCATCACATGACGGAAAGCTCTGTTTCCTGCTCTATCCGTGCATCGCGTTAGTTGACATTTAAGGTGACCTTGGGTTCGTTTTTACGTTCCTCACTCCTGTGTTTTTGCCGTGCCCCCCAAATGACTCAGCTCGGTGTGAATCCTAGGTAACACACCCAGGCAGCATGCAGCTTCCCCTGAAGTTCAAGTCCCCTTCGGCTCTGGGGCAGGCAGGCTTCAATGTGGACTCGCACTGACCATGCAGATGGGCAAGACCAAACCCAGGCATGTATGAAACATAGACTCCCCACCCAGGCTATCCCTGTGGCCCTACCATCTCGCCGTTGCTGCTCCAGCAGAGAGGACTGAGCAGCTAGCATCCAGAGACCCCACGAGGGCCTGTGCTGAGAGCGGGGCGAAGGGTGGGGCTCATGAAGGCTGCGCCTGTCTCGGCACCAACGTGGGAGAAGCGGTGACTCGGATGCCAGGGCTGGAGAGTCGAGGGCAGGACAGGTGGGCGCGGAGGACAGACACACGCCCAGTGTGCCGAGCACATGCAGTGCGAAGGGCAGCCTTCCTGTGTCCTTGATCCCGTCTCCTGAATTCTGGGGGCCTTTGGGTATGTTGTGTGTCAGCTGATGGGAGAGCTGGAACAGGAAACCCCTGATGTTTCTGCAGTGTTCACTGGTCTTATTTTGAGGCTGGTCAATAAAACTATGATTTCAGTGTCTTTACAAAAACTTTCCATTTTTTAAAAGATCATAAGTTCGGCCACAAGGGAATGAATCATTTCCCATTTGCACATACACTGCTTTACTGAAATGAAATATCATAGTATGAAGGCAACTCTGTTGAAAGGAAGTTAATGCTCAACTTTCTAATTATTAACATAATTCATCTTCCTGGCTGCAATTTAAGATACTAATAAAATTATTAAATCTAAGACTGACTTCAGTTGACTGAAATTCTCAGTTAGGAGGGTATGTAGATTTTATGTACATAATTGAAGTTTCAAGTTGAAGACTAATTTTCTAGTTAACCCTTCTGGAAATTAAGACACCTGATTATCTATAATCACAGAACAGTCATGAACCGAGAATCTGGTGGCAATCCCCCAAAAGGAGGCACAAATCAAAGACAAATGGAATATGACAGCTCTGCTTTGAGCCCCCAAGAAAATACGTGATCTCCTCAGGAAATAAAAGGAAAAAGGAGATACCTCAAGTCAAAGACAGAATCGTTTAACATTAGAAACGTGTTCAACAGACGTAGAAAACACCTGTTATTTAGCAAACCAACGGTGTTGCCGGGAATCTACAGGTAAATCGGGCTGTGGTGACTGCCCTCAGGCAGGTTACAGTCTGGTCGGGAGACTGGATAAGAGTTTAATACTTTGACACCCTGGTGTCTCTATTCAAGAGAATCTTAAACCAGAAAGAGAAAGAAAAATACCGTATGATATCACATGTGGAATCTAAAGAAGAAAAAAGAAAGCAACAAGAGGACACTATGAACTCATCTACAAAACAGAAACAGACTCACAGACACAGTGAACAATCTTATGGTTACTGGGGAAAGAGGGTGGGAAGGGGTAAATTTGGGAGTTTGAGGTTTGCAAATGTTAACCACTGTATATAAAAATAAATTAAACACAACTTTCTTCTGTAGAGCACAGGGAACTATATTCAATATCTTGTAATAACATTTAATGAAAAAGAATATGAAAACGAATATATGTCTGTATATGCAAGACTAGACACTGTGCTTGTGCACCAGAAACTCACACGTTGTAACTGACTGTACTTCAATTAAAAACAAAAAGATCTCAGGGCCGCGGGTTGGATGTGGCTCCCAGCTGGGGAGGACCTTGCGGAGCAAGGATGGCTTGACTAGACAGGGAGTGAGGCTGCGCTGCCCAGCTGTGCTGGAAGAGGGGCAAGCGGCCTGGTGCACACGCAGACCTGCTGGGCCGAGTGGAGTCGAGTCAGAATAGCAACACAAGGAGAAAAGGTCACTGGCAGTGACCCAACAGGGCGTCGAAGAAAGCAGGTTGAGCTGAGCGATGGCGTCACCTGTTACTGAGAAGACGAGCGCGGGGAGTGAGGGCGCTGCCCTGTCATTCAGAGCCTTAGCTTTGAGATTAAAAAATGGAAAAGCGTTACCTTTTTCATAGTTGGTAAGTTGTGTACGGGAAGACAAATAGGGTTCCTAACTAATCCTACTGGAAAATAAAAAAAATTAAGAACAAGGTATTGAAATTTTCTTTTAGAATCAATAAAAGTATAGCAAGTTAGAAGGACAGAATCTGAGGTCAAACAGTTGAGTGTGGGGGCGGAACAAGAAACAGGGCACACGGTCGGCCACCCTGAGGTCCTGCCAAGTCAAGTGAGCCTGAGGCCAGGCTTCCCCGGAGCTGGTGACAGCGCCTGCTCCTCCACCTTCCGGACAACCATCAAAATGAGAGCCACCTACTAGTAAGTTTCCTCAGAATCAGGAGCTCTGAGGAACCCTGGTTCTGAGAGGAGGAGGAAGAGCAATGTCTGTTGGGAAGCTGGGACCTCAGACCAATCCTCGTGGGGCTTGGGAGCACCCCAAAATGTGAGAGTGGCCCAGGGCCCCAGAGAGCCCAGGCACTCGGCAGAAATGGAACGCGGCCCGCACGCAACCCCAGTCTCAAAGAACAAGCCCAGATCCAGTTGCAAAGGCCTCCTCTCCTGCAAGGAAACAAGGTCAAGAAACACAGACAGGTGCAGGCAGCAGGAGACAAAGACTGTAGAAACTGATTGGCAGAGAATTGTTTTGCTTGGAGCTAGTAGACAAAAATAAAACAAAGTAGGTAGACTATGTTTAATGAAGTAGAAACAAACAATAAGAGACCAAAATGGTCAAGCAGATTTTTTTAAACCAAATTGAATTTCTAGACAGAAAACATATGCTAATTGAAATTAAAACCTTAAACAGATGTAACATCACATTGGACAAAACTGAAAAGGGGACAGAGTGCACTGGGAGACGGATCGGAAGAAATCACCCAGAACACCCTCCCGAAACTTAGAGAGCCTGTGCCTCCTTATCACGCGCCTTAGGGTCAGGAGAGGAGTTCTTGAGTAACTCGAAAAGGAAAAACTTTTATTCTGTTACATCAAAGTGAAGTTCACCCTGAAGAAATGTCATAGGTAAATATCAAAATGGGAGAACAGATTACTAAAGACTAAACCCTCAAAAAATAGTACCTAGAGCCTTGGATTCAGAAGTAATTTCTACAAACAAAGAGTGAAAAGACTGCAGCCTCTAACAGGAAAACGCTGTTGAAGAAGGAACATGGAACTCGAGGTCAGACCAGGGCCAGCAGACATGAAAGGGCATCTGATGCACAACTCCATCGCACGGCACGTCCAGGCCAGGCAAGCCCATAGCGACGGGAAGATGCTCCGTGGTTGCCTGGGAGGGGGAGGGCCTGCTTCCTGGTGCCGGTTCAGTTTTGGGGTGGTGAGAGCGTTTTGGAGCTTGACAGGAGGAGTAGATGCATGACATTGTGGATGTGCTGAATCTCCCTAGACTGTGTGCTTTAAAATGGTTAACACTTTTATGTGAATTTCACCTCAATTTTTTTTTTTTGGTGAAACATTAAAAGAAAGAGCCCAAGGTGTTAGTTTCAGCTTCACATTTCTTAACTTGGTTACTTCTCTCTGAAGCCGTTTTCTTACTTACTTCGCAGGCATTGGTAAGAAGCAAGATAATCATTGTGGGAGTAGGAAGTACCTGCGTGTGTGTCCCTGGTGTGTGGGAGAGGTTTAATAAATGGTAGCTGTGTTTACATTCACTGTTAACATGGACAAAGTTGTGTGTCTCTCTGTTACCTGTAATTTGGAAAGACCTGGGCTATTAAATCTTTGGCCCCTAAATATGCAGTCCTTCTCAAGCTCCCCCAAACAATGGTAGCAGTTGCGAGCAAAACACCCGGCTGTCCGGTGTGGGTATGAAGGTCAGCTGCTCCCGCCCGGGGCTCCTGCCCCTCAGGGGCTCCCCCTCTGCCCGCTCTGAATGGCTCTCTGCGTCTACTTTCCTTAGTTCACAGAGCTCTGTTTCAGCGGGCCAGCAGCCATCACTCTCAACTACTAGCCCAGTTCACACAGGGAACTTGGGAAGGGGCTCCACTCTGCCCGCAGTGACACAGCGTGGCCTCCTCCCCAGCTGGCCGAGGGGCCGCGGTCTAGGCAACGGGAAGCAGCGTGGGTCTTTTTAATGGAATTACAACTATTAAGGCACTTTGTTTCTCCTACTGGAATGTAATCATTTTAAAGCAAATTAGTTGGTCCCCAGGGTTGTTTTGTTGTCTTGTTTAATTACACATTAAAACCGGGCAGCATGAGTAATGGAAAAGAATCTAAAAGAAAATACATATATATATGTATGTATGTATCTGTGTAACTGAATCACTTTGCTGTACACATGAAACTAACATTGTAAATCAACTCCATTTCAATCAAAAATAAGAATAAATTTTTTAAAAAGAAATGAAAAATAGAACTACCATATGATCCAGCAGTCCCACTTCTAGAAGCATATATTTCCAAAGGAAACAAAATCACTACCTTGAAAAGATTATGTGTACCCCCACATTCACTGCAGCGTAATTCACAATAGCCGAGATATGGAAACAGCCTAAAAATGGATAAGGAAAATGTGATATTTGTGTATGTATTTCAGCAGTTAAAAAGATAGAAACTCTGCCATTTGCAGCAACCGGTGTGGATGAACCTGGAGAGCATTGTGCTAAGTGAAATAAACGAGACAGAGAAAGACCGAAAAACAGCCGCATGAGGCATCAATGAAAGAAATAGACAACAGAAGTGGGAGAGGTTCGAGTTTTCCTATGTCGTCATGTCGCTTCTCTCGCTGTCAGTTTACTGGGCATTAGATGAAGCCCTCAAGAAGCATGAAATCCTGAAATAAACAACAATTCAAAGAATATTTGAGGGCCTTGATTATCACCTAGTGAAGCTGAACTTGAGAAAAGCAGTCAGATCAGCGGACCGTGATGCCTCAGGCCATTTGCATGTGCCCTTGGCGCGCCTGCTGCTTCCAGGAGGGAAACTCATGGAAAGGTCTACTTCACTCGTAGGCGTAAGTGATGCGTTGGTAATCCTGAAATCCAACATATACAAGGTTAAAGGCGAAAGCCGACATGCAAATACAGTTACATAGATGTGTTCAGCATTAATCAGAGTTAACACAAGCGAAATCACTCATGCTCTTGAGAAATATTTCAATCAGATGATGAAAATATTTTATCCTAAAACTGGTCATTTGATTGGTTTCTGCATTCATGCTCTTGACAGTGAGGAACAAATTTTTCTCTGAAAAGAGCCAAGCTGATGAAAAAGTATTAAGGACCACAACTTTAAAGAGGATGTTTCAGAGCCAACTGCAAAAGCACAGCTGAAATGTCTTCTAGATGAACTGAAGACCAAGGTGGTTACAGTTGCGTGCCAAATTAGTAACCTGGACAACCAAGTCGAAGCAACATCTCCAAGCATGGAACAGAACTGTAGCATTGAAATCATGGGCAGAAAGCAAGAGACCAGGAAGGGCAGCCCAAGAGAAGACTGCAAGGAAAACAGGAAGGAAGAGAAGAAATTCATGGACTTGTGAGGTTTCCCAGATATGCCTCAGATAAGGAAAATGATGCTATGAGTTTTAAGAAATGAAGAAGCAAACAGAGAAATAAGCAGGAGAAGACATTAAAACATCCTAAATCTATTGATCAAAGGGATTCTTTTAGATGATCCTGGGACAACATCTTGAGATAATACATGAGGAATGTCTCCTACCTTTCAAAACCAAGATGCTGTGACTGTGCAATCATCTGGGACATAAACCAGCCTCGTGTTCCCCATGAAAGAGCTCTGGGAAATACTGACCCCAAATAGCAAATGCGTTATAATAGTGAGCCTGGGTGAGCAACAGAGAGGCAACTCTGCAAATGCAAACAAAAATGGAAGTCAGAATGACAGTCGGGGAGAATGTTAACTTTAGAATTAAAAGCACAAAGAAATAAAGAGGAACATTCTGTTTTTCATCATGTACCAAACCATGCATGCCTAAGTAAATAAAGTGCAAATGAAACTGTTACTATTATAGTTTTAGTGGGATATTTTAATCTGCTTCTTTGAGATCTGGACAGGTTGAAAAGACAAAAAAAATCCCATGAAATAATAAGAAAATGAGTAAGAGTGGTTTAATTGGTGTACACCAAATCTTACCTTCTTTGGAAAGAGAAATTTTTTATTCCCATGTTCATGGGACACTCACAAAATAAATCACATTCTTAGCCTAAAAGAATGCCTAAGTATATTTTTTAACATGAAATCGTTTGGAGGTTCATTCTGTGAATATGATCTAATAAGATCAGAAATAATTAATAATGTAAAGGGGTCCAAAATCAGAATCCCTTGAGAATTAAGAAAAAGTATTCCTAGACGGGCAACTCTTGAGTCAAAGAGAAAATCAAAAGGAACATTATAACTCCGTAAAAAGTCGTGAAGGAGCCATTCCTCACAGCTAGACCTACAGGACAAAGCGGAAGCAGTCGATAGAAGGGGAAAAAATGTCATGAACTACCATCATTTACAGAGAAAATTAAAGCATGAAGAGAATTGTACTCATCCTAAGAATATATAAAATAACGTAAATAAAAAGCAGGAAATGGAAATTCATAACAAATGCTAAAATCAATGAAAAATGTTAAAAGTAGCAGACATTTAAAAACTCAAATCTAATTTACGTCAGTTTATTTATATTAACGGCTCACGAGCTTGTTTAAAGGAAAAAGAGGGAAGGCAAAAAGCCGCACCAGACTAGGAAAGAGAGACAAGGAAAAACTGTAGATACAGACGTGACTAAAGCAGCCATAAAAATACACGTATGTACAAAACTTTCTGACGAGACATTTGAAAATTCAGAGGAAGTGGATGATTTCCCAGCAAACTATATATTGCCAAAATTCACCCAAGAAGAAAGGAAGGGGAAACTTAAATACACCAGTTACCATAAGAGAGTTTAGAAAAAGACACTTAAAGATCTACCGTTGAAAAAGGCACCGAGGACAGATGGAGTCCCAGCTGAGGTTTATGTAACATGAATTTATATAACCTTCAAGATAGAGCGCTTTTCAAAGTTAAATTATTCCAGGCCTCAGAAAAAAACATGAAAGGGCTCCCGATTCACTTTACAAAGGCAACACAGCTCTTTAAAAACTCCAATAAAAATAGAGCAATGAAGGGACGTTGTCCATTGGTCTGATTTATGAATGCGGACCAAAAATTATTAAACTATTAGAATTATATTCCTGCATGATTTCCCTAATTTGGGAACGATTTTTTGATGAGCATCTAAATGTTCCATGACAACAAACAAAATAAATACACAGCAAACGTTAACTCTAACATCACAGCAACGATACATAAATAGGTACCAATCGGTAAATAGACGATTGTGTTAGATGGTGGTAAGTGAAAATGGAGAAAAATTAAACAGAGGATGCGCACAGAGAGGGCTATTGGGAGGAACTGGCTTTTTAGGGTGATGTACTTGGACTTGTCAGAGAGGGCACCCCTCAGGTTCCACGTAAAGACCAGACCAGCTACGTGGAGCTGGGGAGACGGGGGGCACCCCGAAAGAAGCAGAGGGAAAAGTCAGTGCAAGTCCTCAGGAGCCACGTGAAGACATTGCACCCGGATCCTCCCCTCGAGGAGAGGATGATAGATGTGGTCAGGGAGGAAACGGAGCATCACAGGCCATCGTGAGTGTGTCGTTTCGGAAGCTGCTGGAGGGCTCTCAGTGCAGAGCTGGCTCTACCTGACCTCTCTTTTACCAGTACCGCTCCAGCTGCTGCGCTGAGATTGAACTGAAGGGGACGGGGGCTGAGGGTGGAAACCAACAGGGAAGCTTTTGCAATGATCTGGGCAAGAGTTCAGGGGGCCTTGGAGTGTGGTGGTGACAGTAAGCATGATGAGATACAAT